TAAGAAGGAGGTACGGTACTTTTGAAGCCAAATTGCTCCTCTGGTATGTACCTTGGAACACCACTTGGATCTGAAAAGCCATCCGATCGGCTAAGAAATTTGGAAAACCTTTTGCAGCTCTTCGGTCGACGCGCACCCTTAGACTCCCCTTTCAATGTGACTGGTTGTCATTATCTTCCTTTCCTATCGTTCCGCTGGGTTTGGTTGGTGGGTCTTCCTTAGACATAGGCCGAACGAAGTCAGCCACGTCCATCGAGCGCCAGGTGAGGTCACTCGAGGTCCAACTGTTCTGTAGCTTTCACCTTTCGTTTTCTCCTTTCTAACCCGCGGATGTACCCTGACGGCGAATATTAACCTTTCGCTGTCTTGAGGACGTTCTTATTTTGGCGACATCTACTTTCTCGCTTTCCCTTCTGACTTGCATCTTAGCTTACGTTTGAAGCTTGACACCTGTTGCACAACATCCGTTCCGCCCGTCCAAGGATAAGAGGAGGATAAGAGCGAGGTCTGTGCAACAGCCAAGAGTCTGGACAAGCGCATGGTGGTTGAGCTTAATCAATCACGCGAGAAAATACAACTCAGAAATTCCTAATATTCGCCTTTACACAATTGCATTGTCCCCTCTCTACAGGGAAAAGAAACGACGCCTGTACTTTGCTCAAGTCTCAAGTCGAGCACATGGTGTAAAGACGAAAGGAAGCGTGCATTGTTGTAGGAGGGTTGAAATTTTACCACACAATGTTACGTAGCCCTGCACCCATCAGAAACGGGGGACTCCCGAGGATTGCTAGGCCCCGGAACAAGTATGCGTTGTTAAGTATCGAAATGTTGGACCATGGGAAACCAGCTTGGTAACGATGAGGTGTCAAAAGCCTGCCATTCGCCCACCCCTGACCCTTTGCGCCCAATTCGCTCTTTCTTTTCGATTCAAAGAAACCGTTTTTGAAGGTCTGGAAAAGTTTTGAAAAATATCAGAAAAATCACTCCCAGCAGGACAAAGAGAGCGAAGTACCCGTGTCCCCAGAGAGTCAGGACAAGCACATGGTGTACCGCCGCGGCATGCCGGCGCCGTTCTTCACGCTGGTGATCGCCGGCAAGCTGCTGATTCGAGCGGGAAAAGAGGGCTTCGAATCGGAGATGGGGCCTTGGACGAGCCTCGGGGAGGCGGCGCTGCGGAAAGATGATTACGTCCCGGATTATTCGGCGATCATCGCGGGGCACTGTCGACTGCTGCAGGTGAGGTGACGTCAGCAGCAAGGTTTGGAAGGCATTATTCATTCGGGGGTGCGGAGCGTCGTGCAAGGAGGGCTGCTTTCCCGATTTATTCGTTCTTCAGTAACAGGCAGAAACGGCTGTTGCAATCGAGGTAACGGACATTGGGCAGTTCGTCGAGAAAAGGTGTTGTTTTGCCCCAATTCCCGCTGTCACTCCGGGGGGTACCTTCCACATGCAAAAGTGGTCCCGTGCGACGGTCACATTGTCATCGCAAGACTTTACTTTTTCAGCGTGGTGACGAGGTGGAACGCCGCGGTGTTTTTGCTAACGTATGATTGTACGAGTCGCCGAATTGGAAAAAATACCCACGGTGTTTTCTTGGCGACGGCAGCACCGCGGCCCCTGCTATACCGTCCGACGCTCGAATGCAAATTCATCCGCTCTGTGAGTACAGACCCTGAGTCTTTTTATTCGGGGTGTACTGCAGATCTACCGGCGGGACTACTTGGCAGCGATGCGCCTGGCGCAGCCGGAGATGATCACAGCATCGCGTCAGCTGAAGCAGGCGATCGTCGACATGGAGTACGAGAACGAGTCGCGACAAAACAGCCCGCTTTTGGTGAACCACCGTCGAATCGACGAGAACGAAGAGCCCCGCACCCCCCTGCTGATGGACATCGACAGCAGCCGCGCAGGTGGGGCTATAGGCGATGGGAAGCGGGCCGCTTATCGGGCCGAAATCAGAGCGGACGTACAAGGAAAAGCAACAGATGTTGCTGACGAATTGTTCAAACGAGATGTGTTTGAAGGAGGTGTATCAGGATGGATGACATGCTTAGCTATGCTAGAGTTCGTTTTATTGGTCCCCTCGGGACCCTTTTGTCAGTCAGCAGGGGACTTGCTTGGTATCCGCTCAAGGGTCTGCCGAAATGACGCTCATTGTGGGCCATTGGATGGGTCTTCAGGGGTTTCACTCTTTGGAACGATCATGCGGATTTTTCTGCTTTTCTCGAATCGCTTATTGCTCTGCTCGAGCCAACTGTGCTGTCGTCACGCTGACGCTCTCTGTAACCGAGCCGGACGAGCTGTCCCTCAAAATGTGCGCAAAAGCGGCTGACGTTGTATGACGATCCCCGCAGCCGGGCCAGACGTCCTATCGTCAGAGATGCACAGGTTGAAGCACCTCACGTTCATGTGTTCATTGAACTGACGGTGGCGCTCCTCTCTTCACCTCTGGCCTCTTGGTCGCTGTGGGCAACACCTGCTGACATCATGCTGACTGCTTTTCTGCAGAGCCGGACGGCCTTTCGCCCGAGATGCGCGCTCTCAACCGGCTGACGTCACTGGGCAGCGCCAACTGGGGCCGGCTGGAGCAGGAGGCGCAGGGGCGGGGCGTCATCATACGCTTTGACAACATGCGGTATAAGCAGGAGACGACCGTCAGCATTTACACCAGGTGCGTCCAGAGCTCAGTGCGTGAGTGTGCGGGAGGGGAATGTGACGTGTTCGGTTGGTTCTCCGATCTGAATGCCTATCCCCGGAGTTTCGGGGCTACTGCTCGCGTTACTAAAGAAGGCAGTCTCTGCGAGCAAGATGCGGGTTGGAAAGCACGGTCTTTGTTAGTCTGAGAGTTGTAAATCCTGCGACCATCGATGGGCGTATCAAGCCCTGCAAGAAGCGTGCGAAAACCTCAGCATCGGACACGGAAAAGTGTCAGGCAGTGTGCGCAAGGGTAAAGGACGCCTCTCTCCAATAACCTACCCGTCAAGGAAGCCTTGCGAACATTGAAAAGCCTGGCAATGCCCTCAAAAAGCTTACGTCACTCTTCTGTTTTTTTGACGCAGGGACCATCAAGCGCTGCTCGCGAAGGTGACGGACGCCTTCACGTCGATCGGGCTGCGCGTGCGGAGCGCCAAGATCTACACGGAGGGGGACAAAGCGCTGGACGTCTTTGGGGTCGTTGGAGAGTCGGGGGAACAGGTACCGGAGGATCAGTTTGACTTTGTGAGGCAGCACCTGCTGTCACGCGTTTTCGAAACTAACTAGAGTGGGAGGCGCCGGGGGTGGAGCAACTAGGGTAGGGAGGACGGGAGGAACTAGTGAGGGGAACAGGTGCCGGAGGACCAGTTTGGCTTCGTGAGGCAGCACCTGCTGTCACACGTTTTCGAGGATAAGTAGAGTGGGGAGAACGTGGGGACGGTGGAGATTGGGGGAACGGTGTGGAGAACGGGGAGAAACGGTGCGAGTGCGGTGGAGAAACGAGCAACTAGGTTGGGGAGGAAAGGGGCAACCAGCGAGGGGAGCAACGGTCGAAGGGCCAGGTTGGTTTTGTCGGGCAGCACCTGCTGTCGAAAGCCTTTGAGAGTAACTAGCATGAGGTGCAAAGGGAGGGGAGGGAGAAGAGGGCGAAGGTGGTCCAGGGGAAAGGGGCTTCAGAAAGTTGTGCCGGAGGACTGGTAGGGGCATGCTGCTGTCGCAAGGGTTGAGTTGGAATGAGCAGCTTCGGTAGAACGGGTCCAAAGTCGGATGTGGCAACGGAGATGGGTGAAAGGGGGTGTCGAGAGTTGGCAGACGAAAGGGGAGCGGGGAGTGGTTGGACAGACGTCGCGTTGGGAGGACATCGAGGCGGTTGTTTCCAAGAGCGAAGAAACTGAGACAACACTTTAACAACCTGACCTTTTAGGAAGGCCGAGACAGCAGCTTGGGGGCAGGGTTAAAGTCAGAGGGGAAGTGGGAGGCTACTGGGGGGACTGTGGGCTGGGCGCTGGTGGATGGAAGGGGGAACCGCCGGGTGTTGCGACTTTTGTGAAGTCGGAGTCGAAAGTTGGGGCTGGGGCGGACGGAACAGAGGGGGCGGACGAGGGCTTTGAAATTTATAGGTCTGCTGTGAGTTTAGACGCGGAGGTGATCGACGGAGCCAAAGAACGGAAGATGAACGTTGGGGAGATTGATTTTTTCGTCATGATGGTTTCAAACGAGGCGGGGTTGGTATGCAGGGACTTCGTGTTTTGACCGACAGAGCAAACAGATGTGAATCTTCGCTTGTGCTAGAAGGAAGAAGGAAATAATTGGCAATCAAGTGGCATGTGGGTCCAAAGGGAAGACGCATCCTTATTGGAATGTCAAGATCTGGTTATGTCTTGGATTCGGTTGATCTCTGACTATACGGAAGGCACTGATTCAGAATGCCAGCGACATCCAACCACAGACTTTCGTTTAGGGCTTAGCTAGGCAGCCAGCGCAGGGTGTTACCTTAGTATAGACTTTAGTTTATATCCTGTACCGTAGCGCATGCCCGCCGAAGTGCGGCGTCATTGAGAAGGGAATTTGAAATCCTTTTAGAAGAGGGTGGCGATCATCTGTAGTTACATACAACAGACCGCCATAGTTGCTTACATACCTACATTAGCAGGCTAATAAATGATCTAGAGATACTAGTCAGAATAATCACTTGGATGCTGAGAGTGGAAGTTCTTCAACGTGGTTTATGCAGGAGACTCTAGCTAACTGTAGGACATTTCAAGATTGCTTTGGAGCTAATCATTCTGGGAATCTGTCGCAAAGGGGTCGGACGAGCCTGTTTGTCCAATCGACGTGTGTGGTGCGTGACATGGCCGACGAAAGCCTCACACTTAAGGCTTGGTGCAGCCTAGGTCACTGGCGCCCGCGGCCCATTAATCGAAGGACTAGCTCATGGCCGCGTTCACACAAG